ATTAATTTCACTCATTCTTACAGAACACAAAAAAAAAAATGTTAATTTTGAATATAAATCCTCATTAGAATGAACTCTCCAAGGCATTGGTTTGTTCCCTGTAAGTAGCTCAAAATTTCTTCTTCAGACTGTTCAGGAACTTAATTCAGCTGTAAGTGGCACCAGTGTCCTGAGATTTGTATTATGCAGATGGGATCTAAATAGAGAATAAATGATGTGTGGTTGAAGACAGAAAGTGTCTTTATTCCAGCTTCTTTGCACCTTTAGCTGTTCAATTTTTTGGCGGGTTAGTTTTTGGTTGGAATAGTTTCCCAAACCGTTTCAACATAGGGCAGTAATAAAGAGGTAATGTGGGAAAGGACCAGGGTTTCAGTTTATTCCATTTTAAATTGTCATCTGAACTTGAGAGTCTAACTTTATCTTTCCGTATATGTGCTGGGTTCTTGCCCACTCATAAGTCTGACTTTGATCCTAGGAGAAGAAAAACTTAGCCCAAATGAGTTTCAACAGGCCCCAAACAGACACGTGACATTTTTTTCTCTTTTGCCCTCTTTAACTGCTTCCTGGCATTTAATGTTTGATCCTACGTATGTATCAACAGAGGAAATGGGTGACAGCTGAAGATTATATGCAGAGTTCAAGGAATATCTTTGACTACTGGACTGCAGGGTCTGGAGCATCTTCAATATTAGCAAAGGCTGAGACAGCTTGGACTGCTCAACCTGGAGAAGTCTCAGGGGGGTCTTATTCATTTGCATAAATGCTTTAAGGAAGGGTGCAAACAAGATGGATCCAGCCTCATTTCAGTGGTGCCCAGTGGACAAGAGGCAATGGGCACAAACTGAAACACAATGTTCTGTCAGAACAACAGGAAGCAGGTTTTATTACTGAGAGTAACTTGAGTGCTGGCACAGGTTTCCCAGAGAGGTTGCAGAGTCTCCATCCTTGGAGAGATTCAAAAGCTGTCTAGAAATGGTCCTAGGCAATCTGCCGGGGCAGGGGCAAATGACATCCGGAGCTCCCTTCCAGCCTCAAACATTCTGTGATCCTGTTGATATAGGATGTGATGATATTTTGATGTTTAATGATGAGTATTGTAGTTAAGATTCTGATTTACTTCTCCTTTGATGTTGTCTAAATATTTTCTGTGGGACAATACCTGTTCCAGAACTGAGGAGAGAAAAATATAAAAATTGTCATGAATCTTATATTTTGCCAGAAATATTTGCTAGTTGTCTGAGGTTAATACATATAAATGTTTCTAATTCTGGTGTCACAAATGTGTCTGATACACGTGTGAGTGATATTTAATTGTCATCTAAAAGAATACTTGATGCAGCTGGATTCCCTCTTCGCATATAAAAGACTACATTCCTCAAGGCAATATGAATCATGTCCCTACTATCATCTCTAAATTTCAATTGTTAATTCCACATTAAATGTTTTATTTCCTTCTCAGTGATACTTTCCTCCTCTCTAAGCATGCCAAATAGATATACCAACATTATTTGACATGGAATAAGTTTCATTTCATAAAGGAAAAGGCAACTGAACTTGGACTCCACAACTATCAAAGAGAAACAACTGGAGCCTTTGGTCACAGCATCATTTTATTTTATTTATTTTATTTTATTTTATTTTATTTTATTTTATTTTATTTTATTTTATTTTATTTTATTATTTTATTTTATTTGGTGAACAGTGGTTTGAGAATGTTTTCCTTCTTTTTTAAATTTCTTTTTAGAACATCTGAGTATCTTCAGTTATGCATGAATTCTGATTCTAATCATGAGAATCTAAGACTTTCCTCACCAGGGCAAGATGGAACCACTGTTAAGGTGATATTGACTGTAACAACAGACACATGGCAAGAAAGAATGGAGCAACTGAAACCTAAACTTGTATAAATCTTTATTCAAATGATTTATTTATTTTGGATTCATCATTGAGAATAATGTTATTTAAAGTGAAATTTCTTGCTTTATAATTTTCAAAATTTTAAATTCTTATTTTTTATCACTTAGTCCTGCATTCATATAATTTCATGATTATTTTGGCTTTTATTTCTTTTTAAAGTGTTTATTAAATTTTTCTTGCTACACTGGAATATGACTTAAACATGTTTAAAAATTCAAAAAGCTTGCAACAAATAAAGAGAATTGAAATACAGTATTTAGCTTTGCATTATTTTTAAGACAATCTCATGATTTTGAAGAATGGGTGGACAATTTTCTAATATTTAGAGTTGTCAGTATGTACACGCGATATACTGATGTTGATTCCCACATTGTTAGAACATGATTTTTCAATGCAATTTTTCCTGCTGTACACAGACAAAGATATTTCTGAGAATCAGATAATTCCTTATTAACACAAGCTAAAATTGGTTAATAAGATTTTTTTTCTCAAAGTAATGAAAATGAATATTGGTAATGTACAAGGCTTGGATTGACAAGAAGTTGTCAATACTGCACAACATAAAATTTAGTTTGGAAACATCTTATTGTATATATCATCAGCTATGGTACTTGGATTCAATACATCACTGCATACTATGTGAGCAATATGGTAAGCTCCTTTTAGTAATGTATATAGCAATGTTTTAACAAATTTATCTTCAAAACAGCTTTTTCTTGCATTTCGAAACTTATGTTAATAGTGTAATCTCCAAAACTCCATTGAAAATTAATGTTGTTTGGGTGGCTGTCACCATTCCAAACATTTGACAGTTGTGGTATTAAGGAGTAAATGTGCTTCCTCTCTGATGTATAGACTGTTATATACACTGTTCTAGAGTGTAAGCTCCATGGAGCAGGGACTTTTTCAAGCATAAACAGAGGATAGTATCTTTCAGATGTTATTGGTATTTAAGTAACTATCAACTAATATGTGATGATTTTAGAACAGTTTCATATTAAGCATAAATTAGTTATGAAAATAATTGTTTCTTAAAGATATCACCAAAGTATCTTCAGAAATATAAACCAACACACATGGTCTGCATGGTTTTTGCTTAATGGTAAAGTGAAATCCCTTGATAAATGAGATAAATAGAAGCTGATGTGAAAAACTAATACAACTTGTCCTAAACTGAGTTTCTAACAATTCAAATACCATTTCTTGTAAGTATCTCTGAATAGAAAATGCATTTCCTATTTTACATCCTATAAAAAATGGAGCTCTTCCAAATGATATTCAGATAGGGTTATAAGGAAATAAATAAAATCAGAATAGGTCTTTTTTACTGACATGGCTTGAGAATAATTTCAAAATAAACACCTGCAAATTTTCCCCAGTTGTCTCATTGACCAGACAAATTTAGTTATCAGTTTCTTGTTATCATTCAGTAAATACATTGCTACTATCATTTTTATTCAAATGTAAGTACATTAAAATTAACAGACTAATTCCATACTGATATATTTTTAGTAGTGTAAGAGATATCGAAAACAGAATGGTAACATAGAAGCTTTTCATTTGTCATGTTTTCTTTTGCTTATTGTTGTTGAATGCTGGCTTTTTCTGAGGATGTATTAATTTCATGTGATAATGCCCTATGACTCACAAAAGTTTTGTATGTATGTGTGTTATAACGTTGTGTTTGTTATTTCACAGCATTGACTTCCCTTAGCAATCATAGAAACATTTAAAACTCAGTTAAAGGTACTAATATTTCATTTATAAATCATAGCTTGGCTCGCGTGGACAAAAGCCTGATATCAGAAATGTATTCATCTTCTCCATTAGCAAGAGATGTTAATAAATTTATGCAAGAAGAGTGAATGCACAGATCTTTATTGTGCTGAAGTAAGAACAAATATAGCAACAAATTAATGTATCTTGTATATATCTTTTTTCTGTGCAGGATACAGGGTAAACAGAAATGAATTGATAATCTGCTTTAATAACAAAAAGTCACATCCTGTTCACATTATTCATGACTGGTAGCATCAGTTCATGTTCTGTCCTTAGAAATATGCAACAGATATAGCCTGTCCCATTGTACTTCCAGGGTAAGCATATGACCCATCATCACTGAGAGAGACAATAGGATTTAAATGACAGAAAGGGTGGTACATAATAATGTCAGCACCATTTCTGAACAGAGAACATAGAGTTGTGAGGTGGGCAGCACTCCCATAGAAGTCATTTGCAGAAATGTTCATTGACTCTAAAAGAAACAGAGGTAAGCTTTTCTAAACTGTTTAGGATCATTTCAGACATAATGACAACCTTGCAAATAGGTTACTTTTTTTCTTCTAAACAAAATTAGCATGTTACCATGGTACCCAAGAGGAAGCCTGTGGTTCTACTTCAGGCAAATTCCCATTGTTGTAGAGATGAACAAGGACCATAGCAACTAGCCCTGTTGTTCAAAGAATTAATCATCTGCCTATGTAAATCTATTTAACATCGTTGTTTCAGTGACACGTTGGTTTTTTTCTGATAAAAATACACATTATACACTTACAAACAGAATATATTTAACATGAAAATTTCATTAAAATTCCCCCTTCTGAAAAAAAAAATCTCAGATCTCATTCAGATAGCTTTTCACAGGTAGATTTTAAAAATAACATAGTTTTAGCAACAAAATAACATAGTTTTAGCAACAAAATCATCTTATATTAAAAGTAGTACTTTTATAGATGATAAAAAGGAACTAGATACATACAGTCTGAATAGGTGAAATACTTATTTATTATTTTACTGCTGTATATTCATTCATACATATCTTGATACCATTTTTTGCAATGAAATAAATCTTAATAATGAATTTAGGAATCACTACTTTTTGAACTCTATTAACATTCATAAAATGTAACTTTTGGAATATAGATTACACTATGCACTTGTTGAATTGTAATACTCCGACAGCCCTTAAGAGCCACCTCTATTTGTATGCCACTTCTTTCCTCCTATCCAGGAAGAAAACATAAACAATTGTATAACACAGCTTTCAGAGCATCTGTATGAAATCCTTATGCTTTCCTTTCCAGGTCCTGAAGGGGTTTCCAGAATGCTTACAAGCTGACATTTGTCTGCACCTCAACCAAAATTTGCTCCAGAATTGCAAAGCTTTCCGAGGGGCCAGTAAAGGCTGTCTTCGAGCTTTGGCTATGAAATTTAAGACAACACATGCACCTCCTGGAGACACGCTAGTGCACTGTGGAGATGTTCTCACTGCTCTTTATTTTGTGTCAAGAGGCTCCATTGAAATCCTTAAGAGTGACATTGTTGTAGCCATTCTTGGTGAGTAGATTACTGCAATGCATGTTAAAAGTCAGGGGACTGAAAAGAAACATTTGTTGTTCCTGGTTTAGGAAATGTCACTGTTATTTAAAATTAAGCAGAGAAATAATTTAAGGAGCAAAGTCTACATCACTCCAATAATCCCTGTGCACCAAAGAGCTCCAGTCATTTGAAAATCTAGAATATAAGAGCAGGAGTGAGTCACATTTATCCCTAGGTAAATGGTGAGATGCAAGTTGAGACAAGTTGATGTCAAGTAACTCCAGTTCTGATTATGCTGCATCAGTCAAAGTTTTGATATCCTTTTCCTGAACAGTGTATGGGAGTACTGAGGTCCATAGACTCACTATATGTAGAAACACATGTACATGTATCTAATTTAAGCAGTGTCTTCTAGAAGTTTTCAGAAATGTCTGCTTCTATCCCCTGAGCATATAGAAAAGGAAGAGAGTACCAGATTAATCTGATCGAGACTGATACCTAATTGTAATAACACTAGAAATTTCCCTTGTATTTCTTATCAGCATGTTCTTGTTTGTATTGAATGGGGCATTATTTGTTCTCTTTACCAATGAAGTTTGTCTCAGAACAATGTTCAGTCCAGCTTACCTACAGTTGATCATGACTCTTATGTGGAACCAATAAGATATATTAGGTATAGTATTTTAAAAAGAAAAATAACTAAAACTCTACCTAAATAAAACTACTGATTTGTTTCTTCAATTTAGAATCAGGTAATAAGAATGCAAGGAACATCTGAATAGATATATAAGGTGGTGGAGTCACCGTCTCTGGGAATGTTTACGGAAAGGTTGGACATGATGCTCGGGTACATCATCTAGTGGTAGGGGGATGGTTGGACCAGATGATCTTAAAGGTCTTTTCCAACCTTAATGATTCTGTGATTTTGCTACAATGAAGTAGATGAAGCAAAATGTGGACTGGTAGCAGTATGTTGCTATTAATTCACTTGTGACTGCTTTTCTGCTAGTGCTTTTGCAGAGTGGATACCTGAACAGAAATACAAAGGCCTGCCTACAGCAATCCTTCCCTGTGTTTAGATAGAGTTATCAAGAGAATTTGTCATTTCATGCTATTGCATTTCATCAGCTGGGCCAGCTTTAAGCACAAGCAAATTAGGGACCATGCAAGTATAACACTGTGAGATTTTTACTCACTTGTCTTCCCCAGATTCTGAACAGCGTGATTCACTGAGGACTTCCTCTCTTACATCAAATACATGTACATTTCTATAGCTCTCACAATGAAGAAAAACTGACAAGTTTACAAACTCATGAATTTATTAGTGGACCAAAGATGCAGACTGCATTTTGTGTGTTATACACATCAGATCCTCGTGCTCCCCTGACCCTGCAGCAGAACACCAGCAGTGCAATGCCACTGCATCTCTTCCACTCCAAGGTTCCACACACCAGGGTCTGCAGGCCAGTGGTCTGCTCCCCCAGGTAATGGGAGTCCAGAGTGGAAGAGACAGTCATGCACAACTGCAGCCAAAAGGAGCTGCACTATAGTCCTACATCAGTTACATGGCCCATGTGGCAAAAGCCTGCCTGATAGCTGGCTCTAGTCAATGAGATTGTGGTATTCTGAATAATCTGTTTTTATAAAAAAATAAGTGTCCTGCAACACAATCTCACCAAAACCTAACAAAGGTTCTCAATACTTAGCCAAACATTTTTAGTTATTTCCTCATCTAAGGACATAAAAACCTCTTTATTCTCCAGGGTTGAAAAACTTCAGTCCATAGCACAGTTGACATTTCCACCCTGAATAAGTACTCCAACTTCATCACAGAAGTCAGAGGTTCTGAAAAACATTGGGTTTATCCATCAGTTTTCCTCAACTCCTCAGCATTATCTGATGCTGCTAACGTCTTACCAGTACTGACCTGACAGCAGTAACTCTGTGCCAAGACTCCGTGTCCTTAGGAAAAATGATTTCTATTGGCCTCATAGAATCTACCACCTCTTTCAGCTTTGCAGACAAGATATTAAAATACTGTGATTGTGTCAATGTAGTCATATTACAGAGAAGGTATTATATGTCTTGGATAGGGACCTCTCCATTCATAAATATTAAGACCAGAAGGACTATTAGGTTATGTTGGCTAACTTCTGCTACATCATAAACTCCTTTTACATTTCATATCTTTAACTATCTTTTGTGTCTAATGAGCTGTTTGATGAAAGCATGATGTTGAGAAAAGAAATGAATTTTGATCTGAAGAAATAATAAGATGAAAAAGCAATCATTTTTCTTTGCAGTTTATTTCCATAGTGAATCATTTTATTGTTAAAAATACATGCTTTATTTCCAATAGAAAATTTTCTTGCTTCAATTTCTTTCCATTGGTTCTTGCTTTGCATTCCTCATTATATTCTAGACTCATTTACTACTGAGTAATTTTTCCTCTCCATAAGGATATATGCAATATAATCAAGTTACCTCTTTAATCTTCCTGTTGAGAAACTAAATAGACCATGCTCTTTAAGAGCAACTCTACCCTTTAATTATTTTTTGAATCTCTTAGCTACTTGCTCACCTTGCTCACCCAGTTCTCAGTGCCCTTAAAAATAAATAAATAAATAAATAAATAAATAAATAAAAATAAGAGAGAGAGAGAAACAATAGCTACTTGCAGTAATCCAATACCCAGTATAAAAAAACACAGATGTTTATCAGAGAAGCAAAATCACCTGCACCCTTTCTCAGCAGCCTACTATTGCTCAGTTGCTAAATTGCTATGACCAGTATTCTTTTCCATAAGTGCTTTCCTAGATACACAACCTCACCTCCATTTTGCAGGTATGCCCTGCAAACCTTAATTTAAAGCATATTTTGAACTAGTCTGTGATTGCTTTGCATTTATGACAATTAGCTGAAGATTTGGGGAAAACAAGCAACTAAACAGAGATGACAATTTCAGCAAACAGGTAGTGCAAACGTGTCAACATTGATGGAAGAATTGTAATAGTACCAAAACAGAAGCAGCTATGTTTAAAGACCTTCTTGAAAACAGCTTCTGCATGTTGGAAGCTTTGCATTCCCTCTAAAAATATATATAAAAGAACTAGTAATTTTCTACTAAAATATATTTCTAATAAAGTCTGTTTCTTCATGTACATTTAACAAAATGAGATTCTAGGCCAGACAGGTCCTGGACTCTACTGAAAGTCAGAAATTATAAACTTTGTCATCATATGATTTAAATACATTAAGTTTTTCTTAGGAAGAACAAAGGAAGCTTCTTTAATCATTCTATTTTGACAGAACTGAAGAAAAACTGTGATGAAACTAGATTTTCCTTTCACTTAGTCCATTTATATGCCTGCATAATTTCATTGAGTTTACTTTTACTATTGAATACTTTTGATTTAAACCAACATACATGCAATGGTACTGAGATTGTATCACTTCATGTAAAATTAAGTATTCTACACTGTTATCAAAAAGAAATACATCATCCAATTTAATGGGTTATTCATGTTTAAAATAATCATCTATATCTAATTTTCTTTCTGCAGGAAAAAATGATATTTTTGGAGAGATGGTACATCTTTATGCAAAACCAGGAAAGTCAAATGCAGATGTGAGAGCTTTAACATACTGTGACTTGCATAAGATACAGCGAGAAGATCTACTAGAAGTTTTGGATATGTACCCTGAATTCTCTGATCTCTTCCTCACCAACCTAGAACTGACTTTTAATTTGAGAGATGAAACTGCAAAGGTACATAAAATAAGTTTTTTGTTTGTTTGTTTTGTTTTGTTTTGTTTTTCTTAGTATTGGGCAGAATCTATGCCACAGTAACAAAACTTGAAAATAGCAATTGAAAAACTGAGTTTAGCAAAACCAAAAGCGAAAAGCCTGAGGCCAAATCCTATTTTTAAAAAAACACACTCACCTGATTGCTCCTACTGAAGTCAGTAATACTCAGAAGAAGTCGATGAAATGATCCAGATGATGTTAATCTAACAGGATTTGATTCTATATTTAAATAGTATTAAAATTTTAGCCAGGGGGATTTTGGATTTTTTGTTAAAGCCATGGAAAATATGTTTTTCCAGTGAACATGACTATAGCCTGGGTCACCACAAGGGGGACTTTTGACACTAAATATAATTGTATCACCATGAAATAAATATAAATCAGATTATCCAGATTCATCCTGTGCCTAATAATACAAAAAAAATTAACTGCCTTTCAAACATGAATTGTTAATTCTCTTAACTTAAGTGCACCCTACTTCCTGGGAGACTAAAGGTGTACAAGGGACTTTTTAAAATTTCATTCACTCCAGATTTACAGGGGTTTCTTGGTCTCTTTTTCCTACAGTGACTCTCCTAAGTGTTCCCTCATATCATGATGAGGGGGTTAGGCTGAATTGGGAAAATAGGGGGACGTTTGAGCAGAAAAGAGGAGAGGCTTCTGGGGCTCTAGAAAGTTTTCCCCAGAAAGCTGTAGGGTACACTAGCACTGACCACCAAGTATGGACTAAACTGCCCACAGAATGGCCAGCTTAAATTTCATTATTTATGAGACACTGCCATTTAGTGTTTTGTTTGTTTGTTTGTTTGTTTTTACCATACTTTAAAGGAGAAACACGAATTCAGTGAGAAGCAGATAGCAGAATTTGGCCTCAAAGGCTGTCTGAAAATCACAGAGACAAAGAACTCCAAGGTTTCAGTTAGAAATGACAGGAACTTCTTTGCTAATCACATGTTGATCTTTAGTTTAAAAATTTTAAATAAAAATAACTTCCAAAAAGAAATGTCATTTCTTTTCTTTTTATGCTGAGCCTTTTTTTTTTTCCATAAAAGATTGTTCTGAAAATCTGGAAAAAATACCAATAATATTCTTTATTTTGAAATGTATCATTTTGTGTTTATTGAAAAGGTCATCATTATTAATTACATGTGAAATACAATACAATGAAGTTACAGTCTAGTGATAAATTTAAGTTAACTGAAGGTCCACATATTTGAAAGGTTTCTTGAAGATAAATTCACATTAATGACTTTGGTCTTCTTAGCAATTATTTCCTGCAATTACTTTGCCATCAATGTTTTATCATTTTTTCTTTAGATCTGAGCAAATTGAAACAAATCACATTGCGTTGTGATGTAGAAGAGACAAAGAAAGTTCTTGCTGGTCACATCTCTTAGAAATTTTTCAGATATTATTTCTTACTGCTGTACTAGCCACTAAGAAAAAAATCACTAGATTTCACAGAGACAGGAAGGACACGCTCATCCATGCCTCTGAGCCTGCAGAGTAACAGTTTTCTCTAGCAATTCCACTTGCATTCCACTGTCACAATCCAGAAAATCATCCCCAAAAGAAGTAATGAACACATTCTGATCTTCAAAACATCACTCATATCCAGATTTGTTATCTGAATAATAGGTGCTTCTGCCTAAGCTTCTGTTTCTGTCCTCTTATTTATGTAAAGTGCCTTTTTCCTTCTGCAGTTATTCTACCAGTGAGACACCACTAAGACACCTTACCAACTAGGTTTACAATGAAGGGAATAGAGAAAGATGCAAACACTTACCAAACCTTTCCCTCTGCCTTTCTCCCACATGCAAATCTGTTTTCCTGAGTGGTACACTCAAGTACGGTACAAACATCAGTAATACAGGGAAGGGAAGTAGATTAAGTGAATTCCTTAGGTGCATACACAAAGAGTGTAACTGGTGTTTTATTAGCTTACTTGTAAATTCTGCAGTTATAATATAAGTAGAAAGAAGAATTAAATACATCTTGTATTTATAAAGGCAACAAAAAAACACATCCATCTTCTAATAAGATGTATAGAGAAAGATACCATTGTGTTCAGCTATGAAACAATGAAATATGTCTCTTAATGAACTGAATTTGATAAAAAGGAAGGGAGGGTCAAAATAATAATAATAATGAGGAATAAAGTGCCTGGTGCTTGTCAACCTTATATTTCCTGTTGTAAAATGTAACCTTTATAATTATTACCATATAATTAAAAATAAAACTAATTACAATCAGTTAGCACATTACAACTTTATCAGAGAATGTATATAGTATTGCAAGGAGGTGTTTTTGTTTTTGTCTTTTTTATTTAGTTTCTCTAAACTTACTTAAAACACAGGAAGCTGATAAAATGTGTCTCTACATTTGAATTTATCAAGATAATTTTGTTTCACCATCATGTGGCAACACTGCCAGTTATGCACTATCTGCAAAAACTTTTTAGCATTAGCATGGACCAATACCATTAGATAGGGATGGAGAGGTTGATGTAAACTGACTTGTGTAATATTGCCTTTCTTAAAGCATGAACAGTCAATCAGCTATTGAAAACCTGCTCTTTTTATGTGGAATTAATCTGTCATTATGTTTCATATTTCATTAATCAAGTCTGACCTTGTAATAAGATCACAAACTACTAATGATACGGATGGAGAGAACTGCAAACTACGAAGACGGAAATTGTCCTTTCAAAGTGAAATAGAGAAAGGTAATTAACTTCATGTCTTACATTAGACAGTACTGCTTCATTATTCATTGGTATTTCACTTGGTAATGCTGGGTACAATAGGGTCCCATGTTGGCTGTTACTGTAGCAGGTCTTGAGAATCCAGCTGAGCAGCAGAAACATTCTGTGCATTGTCCCCTACATGATTATATATGACTAGATGATATCAGTTTCACCTTCCTATGACTTCACACCCATCAGTGCAGAGCTAGTCAAACACAAAGCTACCTCACTGTCCTTGTGATAAACATATATGTGTGTGTATATATACACATATATATGTATATCACCTCTTAAGAAATATCCATTTTCTGAGACACTATGCTTTAAAATGTTTGGAAAAACTAGCCTACTGGATTATTTATTAGCAGTGTTGACTTTATATCCTCAGCAAAGGGAATAGCTTACCTTCAGCTTTGCTGAACTTGATGCTAGGTAGTGTTTCTCCCTGGAATTAAAATACTTGTTTTCAGGACACAGTAGATTCCCATAGTCAGATTTTGATTAATTTGGCAATGTGTAAATGGTTGTCCTGGAAACAGTTCAGGTTTTCTGTGCTTACGTTCACCTTAGAGACTTTTTGGGAGTAAAAACAGTATTCAGTACTCCTAAATACCAGGAACTCTAGACAGTTGCTATGGTCAGACAGTAATTGTCATGAAGAAAGCTAAATTGATACTCACAAGATTTTCATTTTTATGAAGGGAAAGCATAATTTCTTGAATAATTTTATAGTTTCAGGGTCCAATGATTTGTCTGACAAATTATTGTTTCTGGTATGCCTGTCTTTCATACTCCACAGTTAAACCCCATACATAAAACCAATTTTATCATTGCAGAGTAGTTGATAATAAATGGGAATACTTTAGAGGTACATAGCAGGTATAATGCTTTATGAAGGAAGACTTTAATCCAGAGCATGGCTACTCAGAACAATGACATTGCCATTCAATCAAAGAAGCTTCTTTAGGGCAGGAAGCCAAGACTGACAAGAAATCTGTCAGGAAAATGTCCCCATGAAATATTCAATCTGCTCCTCACAAAGAATCTGTTGACAGAGGTGCTTTGCCTGAACAACCTTCACATTTCTTATGAGAAAACATATGCTAACACCCAGATAAGATGGAAGTGATCTTCCATGCTGTGCCTGCTGCAGAATTACAAATAGGTTCCTCAGGTGTTAATGTGGTGCCAAGGCCCCAGGCTTTTATGGTTCTTGCACACTAGATTATGCTAAACAGCCTCTTGGAGACATTTATTTACATTACTTTTGAAAGAATATAATTTCACACAGTTTTGTCTTTGAAAATAAAATAAAATTGCACCATTGGGGAAAAAAAAAAAAAAAAAAAAAAAAAGGACAAAACTGGCAATAAGTGCTTTAGTCCTGGTAGTCATTGCATAGTACCTGGTAATTTTTGAGTTAGACAGAAGTGTGGTACATTGGCAGTCCACCTGAGAAGATGGTAGCATAAGAGTCTTTTGCCAAGGTGTGAGTATGCTTTTGGCCCACTGTTTTACTGGCCCTCTCTGGTCCCTGTTCAGATTCTCTGAAAGTTGCCAGAACTGAAGGAGGCATCAGACCTTCTATGTCACTTTTCTGTGTCCCATCCTACACTCTGTATGAGGTTGTGGAGTACTAGAGGTTACTACTGGATTGCAAAGTTCTATTTATTTCAACATTTACTACCAATAGAAGGGAACTGCATCATATTTTGATCCAACATAGTTAGACTATAACTGATAAATATTTGGGCATAATGCTGCAGATTGCCTTAGAAAACTGGAGTAGAAAAGACTGAGCTCCTGAACAGGCAAATGCATTTCTGGTCACAGTATTCTGTGACCAGAATATGATGACTTATAACAATCATATTTTGCTTTTAGAACTGTAATTGAATAGACTACAAATTAAATGGACATCCAGCATTCTCACTTTCAGATTTTGATATTTTGCATCTCACCAAATTCTTATTTATTTGTAATTATTATGGGGGAGAATGTTGCTCATGAAAATTGACTTCTTGATGACATTTTTAATTTCAGTTGTTGACCCCCTAACATATCACACAGTTGGGGAATGTATTGTTTTCATCTTTAGTATGATCATCAGTGATTTTCTCCCTTTTGGAGTGCTAAAAATGGGATTGTGTTATCTCAGCCTTTAGTTCATGCTAGCCTGATTTGGACCTTGTTGCCATGACAACTCTTCCTGCAGGAGTTTTATCAGGGGTTAAAGAAAATCAACACAGCTCATGCATCTGCAGTTAGTACCACTACTTTTCCAATTCCAAGTAAGACCTCAGTCCACCTGTACATATTTCCATCGTTTCTTACTTGTGTCAACAAAAATTGATATTAGCTCTATCATTAAGCTCTATTATAGTATGCTTTTAAAGGATTTGTATGGTATAAGGCCACTTGAGGAGGCAGCTTTTTCTCTGGTTTCCAGAAACAACTGCAATACCACAAGAGGTCCCTTGCAAAAATTAACACATACACTACATAGCAGCTTATTCTTGCTCTCACCTAAAATAAATTCATTTCAGGACTTTTAGGATAATGGATGATATTCCTTGCACAGGTGCAGGTGCAGCCTCAGCCAGTTGCCATAGATGCTTGACAGTCAGCCAAGAAATTCTCTCCATGATTGCTTGAAATAAGCAGTATTCCTGCCTGGCAGCTCCCACCAAAGCTTTCAGATTGGTTGGCAAGTTAGTCTCCTGCTGAAAACTGAGGGGCAATGAACTGCTCTATCTACATTCAGATGCTTTGTTTAGCAGTGCAGAATACAGCCCTGTCTTGCCCATTACTCATTTTCTTCTAGTAGTTAAGTGGGAGATGGCTATTTTTGAGAACATTACATAGAGGCAAGAAGTTTCTTTAGCTCCCTTAGTTCTGACTGCAGATCTGATATTCCACGCTGAACAGGGCATCACTAGAGTTGGTTTCATCAATATGGAATCCAAACATACAGCTGAAAAAATGCAAAAGTAACAGTCAGAGTGCCACCCTAGCAAAGTAAGCTCACTGAGAGCTTGAAAACTTGAGGCTTTGAAAAGACTTTTCTGGAGTTCAAGCACTGATACTGATTAGTGCCTTGTTTAACTTTTTGTTAATGCTTGTTCTAAAAGCTTCACCTTCTTGGGACTGTCTCCTGTTATTCTCATTAAAAACTATTCTTTATATTTAACTTTAATTTATAAAGCCCATAGCTGAAAACTATCAAAACCCTGGACCTATTCTGAGCACTCACACATAATTCTTGTGAAGCCCTAGAAACAATCAGATAGGAAATCCTTTCCCAGGAGAAAACTGATTTGAGGCTGAAACTACACTAGTGATAAACTCAAATCACATCTGCCCTTTGTTCTGTTGACAGAGCATATAAAATACTTTAACGGTAATATAAAACTGGCTAAATAAACCAGCATGGACATACTACCTAGGAATGTAATGTTGACCTGATTGAAATAAACCCTAACTCTGGATTTTTAGCTGTAATCCAAAGACAAGAACATCATCTCAGAGACTCTAGCTGAGACAATGATATGGTCTCCAGTTGAGTTATATTGTTATATTAGGAACCAGAGATTCAGGTAGCTAACAATACTTAATCTTGAATTTTCTTGCCAGCTGGCTCAGGGAACTTGTAACAAGGAATTTTTATTTCCATGGATGTGATTTTAAAAGTTCACAAAAGAACGTTCTTATGAAATCTTATGCACTTGCCCATGTTGACACAATCTGTAGCAATTGGATATAAAATGCATTCTGCAATGTTTCACTTTATTCATTTTCAAATGTTTCATTTTATTTTCATTGTTAACTCCCATTTTCATCCCCTCCCCCCAGTTTAGACATTTAAATGTTTACTTTACGAATAGATGACTCAGCCAAGCACTATGCTCTGTGTCCCCAGCAAGAAAGTAGGGTAAGAATCTGGACAAAAATGGAAGCTCTTACTTAACTGTGTTAAACTATTAGCATTTTGCTAATGAAGTCCACTTGGGCTTAATTAGAAAAGAATTTCTAATATTCAGCCAGAGTGTCAGGTGGTTAAATGAGCAGGGAGCAACTAATATCTAGGCAAGCAGCATATGGCTTGGAACAAGATTTCATGTCCCTAAAATCTTACCTTCAGCACAAACCCCCTAACAAAAAGTGTATGGTCATCAGAGAGCTCATCACTGCAGTTTTCCATCTGCTCCTGTTATTGTTATTGTTATTGCTGTTACCACCGTGCCTAGGAGCCACCTCAGGGAGCTTCTACAAGAGTCTTGTTTCCATGAGTTGCTCCCAGAGAGGCTGTTTCCAGAGGCCAAATCTGATCAAAATGTCGTATGCGGTCATACATACCAGTAGCCATCCTTTGAAAAAAAAAAAAAAATAGTAATAGTCCTATACTGAAAGCTGTGTACCTTGTAGAAGAGAAGAGGATTCTAAATTTCACAGAACTTCTTTGGCCTTCGCCCTGAATTCCTTTTCAGACGTGTTTGTACACCTTTGTTTCTGATTTTTAAAGTTGATCATTATTTCCTGAAGTATAAATCAAAAATTGTCCTTATGTTATTTAAATACCATTAAAGTTGATACAAAAACACAGGAAGGAAATTCAGACACAGGGCTGTCACTCCATTCCTAATTTATCTTGTAATAGAAATGGCACAAAATAATAAATTAACTTTAAAATTCTTGGCTTTTTAAATGTGTTTCTTATTCAGTTATTCAAAACTACCTTCCTTCTTATCTTAGCCCATTAAAAAAAATAAGGAACATAGATACTTATGGAATGGTTATCCAATCTTTAGTTCAGGATAGTGGGAGGTTTCAGTATTTTGTTTTGTTTCCTGTTTCTCATATCATCCAAACCTTCATAGCTTGGAGAGGAAACACACCAATATATACATTAATTTACCGAACTCTCACAAGCAGCACCGAGACAGTCCGGGAACTCAAATAGCTCCGGTATACTTCAGTTC